TTAGCCTGATTACCTGATCCTTGACTGTTGTTTTCCTCCTGATGTGGCTGTACAACAGTTTCGGGTCAGATTTGGCTTTCGCTGCTATGTCATTTTCATATTGTCTTTGGGCCTCCCTTCTTATCTGTGCATATTCGTTTCTGGCTCTACGATTGCTCTCCTTATTCTCCTGGGTCCTTTGCCTTCTATATTTCTTCCATTCCCTAGCACACTTGGTTTTTGCCTCCCTGCACCTTTGGGTAAACCATGGGCTCATCCTGGCTTTTTCATTATTCCTGTTACCCTTGGGTACAAACCTCTCCTCAGCCTCCTTGCATTTTGTTGCTACATATTCCATCATCTCATTAACTGGCTTCCCTGCCAGTTCTCTGTCCCACTGAACCCCGTTCAGGAAGTTCCTCATTCCTGTGTAGTCCCCTTTCTTGTAGTTTGGCTTCATTCGTCCTGGCCTTCCTGCTTCTCCCTCCCTCCCTTGGGTACAAACCTCTCCTCAGCCTCCTTGCATTTTGTTGCTACATATTCCATCATCTCATTAACTGGCTTCCCTGCCAGTTCCTGTCCCACTGAACCCCATTCAGGAAGTTCCTCATTCCTGTGTAGTCCCCTTTCTTGTAGTTTGGCTTCATTCGTCCTGGCCTTCCTGCTTCTCCCTCCACTTGTAGCTCTACTGTGTATTCGAAGCTTAAAGCCACATGGTCACTGGCCCCAAGGGGTCTTTCATATGTGATGTCCTCGATATCTGCACTACTCAAGGTGAATACTAAGTCCAGCCTTGCGGGTTCATCCTCTCCTCTCTCTCTTGTAGGTCCCTTACGTGTTGGCACATGAAGTTTTCCAGTACCACCCCATCATCTTAGCCCTCCAGTATCTTGGCCCCATGTGGGTCCAAGTTCTCCCAATCGATCTCCTTGTGGTTAAAGTCACCCATGATCAGGAGCTTTGCCCGCATGCATGAGCTCTTCTGGCCACTCTAGCCAGTGTGTCAACCATCGCTCTATTGCTCTCTTCGTACTCTTGTGTGTGTGTGTGTGTGTGTGTGTGTGTGTGTGTATATATATATATATGTGTGTGTGTGTGTGTATGTGTGTACTCACCTATTTGTACTCACCTATTTGTGGTTGCAGGGGTCGAGTCTTAGCTCCTGGCCCCGCCTCTTCACCGGTTGCTACTGTGTGTGTGTGTGTGTGTGTGTGTGTGTGTGTAATTATGTGTCGAATTATGTGTGGGTTTATTATGTGTCTGAAAAGTAGGTGGCTTGTGCTTGGAGTGTAATGTGGATTCTCAGTTGTCGCTTGTGTCCACAACCTCTTGTGACCTGACTCCCACCCTCCTGAGACTTACGCTCACCTTCTTACAATGTTTGTGTGTATGTACTCACCTAATTGTGGTTGCAGGGGTCGAGACTCAGCTCCTGGCCCCGCCTCTTCACTGATCGCTACTGGATCCTCTCTCTCTCTGCTTCCTGAGCTTTGTGATACCTCTTCTTAAAACTATGTATGGTTCCTGCCTCCACTACTTCACTTGCTAGGCTATTCCACTTGCTGACAACTCTATGACTGAAGAAATACTTCCTAACGTCCCTGTGACTCGTCTGAGTCTTCAGCTTCCAGTTGTGGCCCCTTGTCCCTGTGTCCCCCTCTGGAACATCCTATCTCTGTCCACCTTGGGCTATTCCCCGCAGTATCGTGTATGTCGTTATCACGTCTCCCTGACCCTTCTGTTTCCCCCAGTGTCGTCAGTCCGATTTCCCTTAACCTTTCCTCGTACGACATTTTCCCTTTAGCTCTGGGACTAGCCTTGTTGCAAACCTTTGTACTTTCTCTAACTTCTTGACGTGCTTGACCAGGTGTGGGTTCCAGAATGGTGCTGCATAACTCCCAGTATGGGCCTAACATCACAGTGTACAGTGTCTTGAACGATTCCTTATTAAGGTATCGGAACGCTATTCTCAGGTTTGCCAGGCGCCCGTATGCTGCAGCGGTTATTTGGTTGATGTGTGCCTCCGGTGATGTGCTCGGTGTTATGGTCACCCCAAGGTCTTTCTCCCTGAGTGAGGTCTGTAGTCTTTGTCCACCTAGCCTATACTCTGTCTGCGGTCTTCTTTGCCCCTCCCCAATCTTCATGACTTTGCATTTGGCTGCATTGAATTCGAGAAGCCAGTTACTGGACCACATGTCCAGCCTCTCCAGGTCTCTTTGTGTGTGTGTGTGTGTGTGTGTGTGTGTGTGTGTGCGCAAAGACATCATTTACAAGAGAATGATTATATAAAACACATCAGAAACAAGAATTAATCTCAGGTGTCTTTCTTATCAAGGAGTTACCATTGTGGTATTAACTTTACTCTGGTGTTCGTGTATATGATTCTTATGGATGTTACGATAAGTATTTTTCTATCTTATAAAAAAATATATTTATCTTAGCTTTTCTGGTAAGGCATTCCATTGTTTTACCAACGGGTTTGTTTTGTTATATCAGTCCATCGTGTACACGAGGGTCATTAAGGCTGCATTTCACCTATGTACCACCTGTCAACAATACTTTAATCCATAGAAAGGGGATTAAAGTGCATTCTCCGTGTATGAATAGTGAGGTGTAAACCATAGATAAATCGTAATGAGTGACTGTCACTGATATATACAGAAGAACGAACGTAGTCCTATGCTCTCTTGCTGGGTGGTTACAGCGCTGGGCCTGCTGTATGCATGGACCACAGTTCAAGTCACGGTCCATTCGGTTTATATACTTTATGTTACCGGTCGATTATAAATAAAACTTACATGTCTTTGCAAGACTTCTCGTCGTCACCTTCAAGACTTACAACAGTGTCATCACATCTTCGAGGGAAATTGATAGGATGAATAATGAGAACTTTCAAAACAAGGGGGTGTCATGCCAGTGATGATCCTCTTTAAGTCACTCGTTCTCTCTAGGCTGCAATACCGCTGTACACTAACAACTACATTCAAGACAGGTGAAATTGCAAATCTAGAGAATGTACAGAGAAGTTTAATCCACGTATTAGTTCAGTCAAGCACTTTAATTACTGGGAACGTTTGAATTTCTTGGAACGCAGGCGGGAACGATGCATCATAATCTACAACTGGAAAATCCTAGAGGGACTGGTCTCAAGTCGCACACGCAAATCACTCTACGAAAGCAGAAGACTAGGCAGACGGTGCAACACACCCCAATGAAAAGTGGAGATGCCATGAGTACAATGAGAAAAAACAATGTGTCCGGGACCCAATTCTCTTCAGCAGCCTCCCATCACACGTGAGGGGGATTACCAATAGACCCGTAACTGTCTTCAATAAGCTGGACAGATACCTAAAGTTAGTGCTCGATGAGCAGGGCTGTGGTTCATACGTTGAATTGCGTGCGGCCAGCAGTAACAGCCTGACTGATCAGTCCCTGATCCACCGGGAGGCCTGGTCGAGGACCGGGAGGCGGGGGCGCTGACCCCTGAAACATAATCTAGGTAACTCCAGGTGTATTAAAGCATATTTTGAATGTCTATATCAAGCCACTTTAACTGGTATTCTGTGTTAATAAACCAGTTTAGCTCATCTAAATGAGTTTTGAATGAGCTATTGGATCAATGACTCGCTCTACAAGAAATCTAGTTATAGTAAATTCTTAAATAAGTTAGGTAAACTATTTTTTTTTTTTTCGTAAATTTAAAAAAAAAAGTTAAGTCAGGTTGCCCTGTTACTTTCACCTCAAAAGAATCATATAAAAGAACGATAATATTTTAATGTTTGAGATGACGGGGGGGGGGGAAGGCCGACGCTTGAGGTGATTCAAGTTATTTTCTTGGTCTACATATCATTTTCTTCGCCTGGGGCTCAACATTACACAATTTGTAACTATAAATTTCCTGAAATATGACGACCTGCTTTCACTTAAATTATTAGCCTCTCTCTTGGGTTCTTGAAATTTTGCTTTTGTAATTTATTTTCCTTGTTCGTTCAAAAGTCTTACATTTTTATGGAAATTTCTTTACATTTATCAATACTGAAACTATTTTTACTTTTTACTGTTCTTATTACTCCGAGGTTTAAGAAAACTTACGACGTCTGATGATCAACTACTGTCATAGTCTACTATTCCAAGTCTGGTAATGTACAGCATAACCCGCCTTTTATAATATATATGTTTGATGTATTTCATCCAAGGATTACCCATTGTTTGCTCCCAGAAGTTAGTTTAATATGTTTATTATGCACCCCATACCCATCCTGTGGGCGGTAGTCAAAAGATTACAGAGGTACATAATTGGTCCAGGGACTGGACTCCAAAGTTTTGATAGCTGAGCAAGTTACAGAGGTAATGAACTCACAATTTACAAAGGTAATGAACTCACAATTTACAAAGGTAATGAACTCACAATTTACAAAGGTAATGAACTCACAATTTACAAAGGTAATGAACTCACAATTTACAAAGGTAATGAACTCACAATTTACAAAGGTAATGAACTCCAGGTAAGTCTGGTCACAATCATGACAAGTTACAAAGGTATTTACAGATTACAGAGGTACGTAATGGGTCCAGGGACTGGGCCCCCAAAGTTTTGATAGCTGAACTAGGTACAAAGGTAATGAGCTCACAAGTTACAAAGGTAATGAATTCTGTAGAATGGTTACTTACGTTTATACTTTGGCTACAATCATGAACAAATTATAGAGTAATGAGCAATTCACACTTCCACACCCGGTCACAACTGTAATGAGTTATTGGTGCAAATATTGATTGTTGAGTCACACACCACACACACACACACACACACACACACACACACACACACACACACACACACAACACACACACACACACACACACACACACACACACACACATACAAATTCATACACACACACACACACACACACACACACACACACACACACACACACACACACACACACACAACACAGAATAAAGCAAAATTGTAAAAAAAGAAAAACTAGAGATATATTATATCTGTTTTCTTCCAACAGGAGACGAGAAAGTGGAGGAACCTAAACCAGAGCCTAAACCAGAGAAAGGTGTTGTGTTGGAGAAGGTGGTGGTGGTGGGGGTGGTGGTGGCGGTGTCGGTGTTGGTGGTAGTAGTGGTGGTGGCTCGCTGCCTCTGGCTCACTAGGCAGCAAGAGGAACACAGCACCAGAAGCAGAAGTAGCAAAGTCCTAGCATCTCCAGACCTCTCGCGAGGAACACACTCAGGTGGGAGAAAACTGCTTCCTTTATCCCCCGAATCCACTTAATCTATTCGTCCTTCCAACCCTTCCCAAGAATCACTCTCTCAAGCTCTATTGGATCGTAGTCCATGAAGTAACCGTAGATGCTTAACGATATCCTCAGCACTTTTGTCTCCCAGCTCATGATGACATATTTCATTACCTTATATATGAAATTTATCTCAATTTGACAAAAATATAGCTAGCCTTTGCTCCCACTTCATAGCTATCATATAGAGAAGGGCAGGAGCCACTGCTGATATACCAAATTTTATGCAACACAAAAAAAATGGTAAAGGCCCAGTGGTTCAAGGTGAGACTGAAGTAAAGCCTAATAGGCATTCAAAATGCTTGTAAAGTCCTACAAAACGTATTACATAAATTGGACAGGTGAGATGATAAATTACTTTTTTATTTTACCACATAACGGAAATAAGAGCCATAGATTAGTACCACATACTAGAAGTGATAGAAAGTGGAATGTACCATCCTCCTTTGTCCCCTCGTCACTTGTATGGTTACCTCATCTTTCACAGACGTATCTGCCGACACATCCACTCCCAGATATCTGAACACATTTACTTCCTCCATGCGCCCTCTCTCCAGTCCGATATACAATCGTTCACTGCTTGATAGACTCAGGAATACTTTCGAGCGAAAACTATATGGGTTTGGATCGTTAGTTTGTTAGGTTTAAAAACAATGGACTGCATGAAGGCCAGCCATATCTTAGGATACTTATAGGTAGTGAGTGTTTTCTAAGTGTAGTGTCCGACCTAGTTCTGATAGCCTAGTTGATTCTCATCTAGTTAAATGGGCATCATTTGACAAAGACGAACAAGCACCACAACCAGCAAGAGGGCTATTAAATGCGAAATGTTTGTATGTTTCCACGGCTCCTTGCCAAGCAGGGATTGTCACTTGACAACATTGGGTGTTATTCTGTTATCATTTCCTAGTGTATATCAATTTCATTAGACATTACGCAGTAAGCTGATAAATGTTAGAAATAACTTGCAGCAAAGAACTCATTATTATGACATAGTTCCACCAATTTGGGGCCAGTAGATGAAACTACAACGCTTCTTTGCTCTATATGCCTCTATTTTTATTATATATTTTTAATTAGGTAATGGCTTATATATTTGTTGTTTGGTGGGGGGTAGCAGCAGCAGCGACTGGCGGAGCAGGTAGCACACACACCGACGTTAACTTAGATATGGCAGACTTCATGTTTGGTCTGCCTGGTCCTCCACCACCTCCTGCACCCTCACTACAGCACGAGAAGAAATGACAGTTGCTTTACGCGTGCGGCCCTAGGCATGACCAGTTAAAACTGTCAGTTATAAGTGAGGAGTCCAAACTAACAGTTTTAACTGATCCTCTGGACCTAGCCTAAGGTGAGCCCTAATAGCGCTCTATAGGTTTACATTGTGTTATTATTTTCACTAGTTAACACTGAACCTAGTGGCGCAGCCAGGATTTTAATCGGAAGGGAAGCCTTAAGTCTGGATTTCAATCTGATGGAATGGGGGTTTCAGCCAGAATATCAATCTGGGGGTAAAGGCTTTTGTCAGGATTTCAATCTTGGGGATTTTAATTTGGGGGGGGGGTAGAAATAAACTTCTGAAAAATCAAAGGAACAGTTTTTAAAAAAGAATGACTTTTCACAATGTGAAATTTTCTGATGTATTATGATCTTGTGGTCACGGGTCAATATAATAGTGAAAATAATATGGCTTAAGCCACTCCCCTTTCTTCCCTGGTGGCTGCGCCACTGACTGAACCTGATTGGGTCATGCAGGTGGGTTGTTTAGAGTAAAACAAAGTTTGTGTAGGAAGAAAGTTAAGCTCAAGAAATGAGAGAGTCAGCATTGATTAAGAGAGGCCTGCATGCAGAACCTCCGGGGGTTACAGAACGGCACTGCTGCCTTCCTCGTACAAGTCTTCACATTAAGGGGTGGGGGGTTTCCTTGATACTGGTGAAGGGCTCTTGATCTCGGGAAATGGGGCAACCCTGATTTTCCTTGGAACGAACCTTCATTTGCCCAGCTGTTCTATGACCCCCCTAACGATTTTAAAGTTTCACTATTCATCGTAAAGTAGCCATCTCAACATGGCGGGTTGTTGGTCGCGATTACCAGACGGAGTATCAAGCCTTTAATATACATTTGAATAGATAAAACTATAGACCGATTTTTTGGCTTTCTTAATTCTAAAAATGTTTTGTATTTACCAGGCCCACGAAGAAAACGGTTCTGCCAACTTGGTTTAGTAAACACCGCACTTGACGAGGAGACAGTGATGCCAACCACGGACTAGGTGGATATGCTGGCTTCTGAGGAAAGCCAACTTGATCCTATTTGGTAACAGTGGAGAAGATGGTTCTCGCGCCATCTGTATGCTATCTTCAAAATCAAAACAAGCATGTCTGGATCCAATGGTTGATACTGACTGAGGGTAATTTTACCTAGCAATAGCTCTGTAACCCCTTAAGACCGTTAACATTACTTGGTCTCCGAGCAAGATGTATATGTGTGTGTGTGTATCCTGCCATTTACACATATATGGATGTCTGATACTTTTCAAGGAAGATCTAAAGAAGATATATGGGATTCCTGTCCTGTACAACCCACCTTCCCTCTTCTCGGCTGTCAGCTGGTCTCTTGATAACAGTGTAAGACTTTACTTAACACTGATCACCGTCTTATAAAGGTACGTTAACTTTCCTTTATATATATATATATATATATATATATATATATATATATATATATATATATATATATATATATATATATATATATATATAATTTTTTTTTTTTTTTTTTTTTTTTCCAACAAGTCGGCCGTCTCCCACCGAGGCAGGGTGACCCAAAAAAGAAAGAAAATCCCCAAAAAGAAAATACTTTCATCATCATTCAACACTTTCACCACACTCACATATTATCACTGTTTTTGCAGAGGTGCTCAGAATACAACAGTCTAGAAGCATACACATATAAAGATACACAACATATCCCTCCAAACTGCCAATAATAATATATATATATATATATATATATATATATAATATATAATATATATATATATATATATATATATATATGTCATGCCGAATATGTAAAACTGGTCAATTAGCAAGAACTCATTTAAAATTAAGTCCTTTCTAAAATTTTCTCTTATACGTTTAAAGATATATTTTTTTTCATTAATGTTGATGTAAAAATTTATAATTTTGCACCAAAAGGAACTTAGAAAACTTACCTAACCTTATTATAACAAGATCAATTTATTTTAGCCTAACCCAACTTAATATATTTTAGATTTGTTTACAATAATTTAATACTAAACAAACACAGTGAAATATATTTTTTTCGTTAGGTTCAGAATGATTTTGGCGACATTATTGCATACACAAATTTTCACTTGTCCTATATGGTAAGATGAGCGTTACTATTTAAGATAAGATGGCAAGTTCTGCCTATTCGGCACGACATATATATATATATATATATATATATATATATATATATATATATATATAATATATATATATATATATATATATATATATATATATATATATATATATATATATATATAGTGAAATTCCAAACGCTATCTTGACTTCTCACATTATCCTTGATAATGTGAGAAGTCACGAAAGTGCATGGAATTTCACTATTTTTTCACAGTAGTTGTTCTGTATATTGTGATATCACCTGTTTACTGTCATCTTATTGCATATATATATATATATTAATATATATATATATATATATATATATATATATATATATATATATATATATATATATATATATATATTCAACAAGTCGGCCGTCTCCCACCGAGGCAGGGTGACCCAAAAAAGAAAGAAAATCCCCAAAAAGAAAATACTTTCATATTCAACACTTTCACCTCACTCACACATAATCACTGATTTGCAGAGGTGCTCAGAACACAACAGTTTAGAAGCATATACCTATAAAGATACACAACATATCCCTCCAAACTGCCAATATCCCGAACCCCTCCTTTAGAGTGCAGGCATTGTACTTCCCATTTCCAGGACTCAAGTCCGGCTATATAAAAACAACCGGTTTCCCTGAATCCCTTCACTAAATATTACCCTGCTCACACTCCAACAGATCGTCAGGTCCAAAATACCATTCGTCTCCACTACTATCTAACACGCTCACGCACGCTTGCTGGAAGTCCAAGCCCCTCGCCCACAAAACCTCCTTTACCCCCTCCAACCTTTTCGAGGACGACCCTACCCGGCTTTCCTTCCCCTACAGATTTATACGCTCTCCATGTCATTCTACTTTGACCCATTCTCTCTAAATGACCAAACCACCTCAACAACCCCTCTTCAGCCCTCTGACTAATACTTTTATTAACTCCACACCTTTTCCTAATTTCCACACTCCGAATTTTCTGCATAATATTTACACCACACATTGCCCTTAGACAGGACATCTCCACTGCCTCCAGCCGCCTCTTTGCTGCTGCATTCACAACCCAAGCTTCACACCCATATAAGAGTGTTGGTACTACTATACTTTCATACATTCCCTTCTTTGCCTCCATAGATAACGTTTTTTGTCACAACATACACCCCAACGCACCACTCACCTTTTTTTCCTCATCAATTCTATGATTAACCTCATCCTTCATAAATCCTTCCGCTGACACATCAACTCCCAAGTATCTGAAAACATTCACTTCTTCCATACTCCTCCTCCCCAATTTGATATCCAATTTTTCTTTATCTAAATCATTTGATACCCTCGTCACCTTACTCTTTTCTACGTTCACTTTCAACTTTCTATCTTTACACACACTCCCAAACTCATCCACTAACCTTTGCAATTTTTCTTTAGAATCCCCCATGAGCACAGTATCATCAGCAAAAAGCAACTGTGTCAATTCCCATTTTGAATTTGATTCCCCATAATTTAATCCCACCCGTCTCCCGAACACCCTAGCATTTACTTCTTTTACAACCCCATCTATAAATATATTAAACAACCATGGTGACATTACACATCCCTGTCTAAGACCTACTTTTACCGGGAAGTAGTCTTCCTCTCTTCTACACACCCTAACCTGAGCCTCACTGTCCTCATAAAACCTCTTTACAGCATTTAGTAACTTAACACCTATTCCATATACTTGCAACATCTGCCACACTGCTCCCCTATCCACTCTATCATATGCCTTTTCTAAATCCATTAATGCAATAAAAACTTCCCTACCTTTATCTAAATACTGTTCACATATATGCCTCAATGTAAACACTTGATCTACACATCCCCTACCCACTCTGAAACCTCCCTGCTCATCCGCAATCCTACATTCTGTTTTACCTCTAATTCTTTCAATAATAACCCTACCGTACACTTTTCCTGGTATACTAAGTAAACTTATTCCTCTATAATTTTTACAGTCTCTTTTGTCCCCCTCCCCTTTACATAAAGGGACTATACATGCTTTCTGCCATATAAAATATATATATATATATATATATTATATATATATATATATATATATATATATATATATATATATATATATATATATATATATATATATGTCGTGCTGAATAGGCAGAACTTGCGATCTTGGCTTAAATAGCAACGCTCATCTTGCCCTATAGGACAAGTGAAAATTTGTGTATGAAATAATTTCGCCAACATTTTTCTAAACCTAACGAAAAAAAAATATTTCACTGGTTTGTTTAGTTTTAAAATTAAAGTAAACAAATCTAAAATATATTTAGTTGGGTTGGGGTTTAAAAAAAATTTTGTTTTGTTTTTTTTTAAGGGTTTAAAGGAAAGGGTTTTTTTAAGGGATTTTCTGGAGCAAAATTAAAAAATTTTACATTAACTTTAAATAAAAAAAATGTATTTTTAAAAGTAAAAGAAAAAAATTTGGGAAAGGCCCTTAATTTTAAATGAGTTTTTTCTAATTGCCAGTTTTAAATTTCGGAAACGGACATTCTACATATATATTAATTTTAAAAATTTTTATATTATATATATATATATTTATTATATATATTTATTATATATATAAATTATATATAATGTATTATATTTTATATATATTTTATATATATATATAATTTATTTTTATATTTATATATATATATATAGTTGTTGTGTATTTTTCTTTTACGTATATGTTTTTCTAAAAGTTGTATTCTGAGCCCCTTGGGAAAAAAGCAGTGAAAATGTGTGAGTGGGTGAAAAGTGTTGAATGTGTAAAAGGGTATTTTCTTTTTGGGGATTTTCTTTTTTTTTTTTTTGGGTAACCCTGCCTGGGGGGAAGGAACGGCCGACTTTTTTGAAAAAAAATATTTATATTTTAAAATTATATATATTTTTTTATATTTATATTTTTATATATATATGTCGTTTTGGCAGAACTTGCGATTTTGGGCCCTTAAAAAGCAACCCCTCATTTCCATATAGGACAAGCAAAAAATTTGTTGTATGCAATAATTTGCCAAAATAATTCTGAACCAAACAAAAAAAAATATATTTCACTTTTGTTTGTTTAGTTTTTAAATTTATTGTAAAAAATCTAAAATGTTTTTTATTTGGGGTTTTTGGGCCCAAAAAAAATAAATTGCGCTTTTTTAAAATAAGGTTAGGTAAGTTTTTTAGTTTTTTTTGGTTGCAAAATTAAAAATTTTTTTTACTTCAACATTAATAAAAAAAAATTTATTTTTAAAAATTGTAAAAAGAAAAAATTTTTAGAAAGGATTTAATTTTAAATGAGTTTTTGGGCTAATTGACCATTTTACATATTCGGCACAAACCTTTATTTTTATATTATATATATAAAATATATATATATATTATTATTTTAAAATTTTTATATATTTTATATATTTTTTATATATATAATTTTTGTGTGTGTGTGTGTGTATATATATATATTGGGATTATGTTTTGGTGGAAAAAAAGGTTGTTTGGGTTTGGGCTCCAGGATGTACATGTTTATAGAGGGGCAATTTGCATATCGGATCTTTTTGGTTGTAGCTACAGTTAGATTTAAGGGGTGGGATGGGAAAAGAGGAAGGTGGAACAAAAAGAAAAGAGGGAGGTGAAAGTGTATAAAAAAGGGGAGGAGGAAGGTTCGGGTGAGATAAAGCGACTATTGGCGGGAAAAGGTGGGCTAGTGCAAAGATGATTAGTGGGGGGGGTTTAAAAAGGGGGGCGGGAAATTTTTTAAAAAAATGCAGTATTTAGAATGTGGGGCAGAATTTTTGGGGTTTTATAGGAGGGGGGGGCAGGGGGAAAAAGAGGAGTAAATTGGTGGAAAATGATAAAAGGTTAAAGGGTGTGAAAAAAGAGAAAAGGTAGCTTATGAGGGGTTTTTTAAAACCCAAAAAGTGTTATAAGAAGAGCAGGTATATGGAGAGAAAAAAAAAAGGGGTAAAGAGAGTGGTGAAGAGAGTGAAAAAGGGAGAGCAGATAAAAAGGGGGGGGGGCCCAACTGTCAAAAAATTTTTAAAATAAAAATAAAAAAAAAAATTTTTTGGATTTGAAGGTTAAAAACAAGTTAAGAAACCCTGGGGGAAAGTATAGATTTGTCAGTTAAAAACAAAAGTAGGGGAGGAAATAGATGGGGAGATGGAGGTATTTGGTAGTTTGGCGAAAATTATTTTGGGAAAATTTTTAAATTTTTAAGGGGAAGAA